TTTATATTATAATGTTATTTAATATATATAATACAATCTAAAATTAAAAAATATATATATAATATATATATAATATTTTATTTTAAATAATAAATTTTCGATGATAAAGTATTGATAAGAGTATTAAATAGTTAATGAATTGATAGGAAGAAAAAAGTTATAAACAATATCAAGTAAAATGTCAGTTTTAATAAAATACAAAGTTAAGAGAGATGATATTTTTAGTAAAAAAAAATTGAAATTATATAGGTATTCTATAATGATATAGGAGTAGAAATGGCAATGAGTCAGGTTGTGTCGGGTTTTTGGTCAACCTGGTCCGACCAGAAAAATAGTATCATCCACCCGAATCCGACCCAAAATTTATATATCATTCACTCAACTCTGACTTGACTTCGGTCGATCCAAATTTTTATAGTATAAATTCGATCTAATCTGACGCAATATAAAATAATGAATTAATTAATAAAATAATATTCTTAAGAAAATTACATTATTATTTTCATGTTGGGTTAGAGTTTTTTCACCCTCCACTTGAACTCAACTTGAGCCGACCTCACTCCCTTAAAAAATCTAACTCAACTTGAACTTGATTTTTTTAAAACAAAAAAATCCAAACCTATTGAATCAGGCCAGGTCAGAACTCGTCAATCTCATATTAAATTGTCATCCCTATAGGAGCATATGATTCAAATTTGGTAAAAAAATAGACTTAAAATGAAGAATAAATTGAATAAATTGAAGAAATAAGATAATCATGAAAAGTTGAGGGACTAAATAAAAAAACTATTATAAAAAAAGGAATTGAAACACAAAAGTATTATAGGATGATTTAGAAGCATGTGATTCAAATTTGGTAAAAATTGACTTAAAATGAAGGAGGAATTGAATGAATATGAAAATCAAAGACTAAATCGCAAAAATATCAAAATTGTCAACTTTTTTTATTTTTTAGAGTAACTTAAAATTTTCAAATGTCATCTTGACTCAAACTTAAAAACCAAATCGACTCGAATTACTTAAAATTAAAGAAAAAAATTAATTCTCAAACATTTAAATTTGTAAGTGTATGTGCGTTGTGAATTACTAAACAAATATTTTAAAATATACTATGTTATAATAATATTATTCAAAAAGAAAAATATAACCTAAAACTTTATGTCAATTTAAACAATATGTCATAGACTTAAAGACGAAAGAGGATATAACATAAGTGCAGATGATGCTGTTTAGATGCATGATAAGCAGTTATGTGTAAAATTTTATATTAAGAACAATAAATTTCATAAATTTTGTCAAATAATTTGATATGATATTTTGTTGTATAACTCATACATATAATAAAAATAAAACAAGAAAAAATGTAGAAACAAATACATATCTACATCAATGAAAGTATATATATCTCTTAATATCTCAGTACATAGAAATGGACACATACTTATATTGACCTAAGAATATGTATTTTTAAAAAATAAAAGAAATAAAAATATATATTAAATAATTTATTCAAAAACTATATATATATATAAATTAAAAATAATAAAATGCATATTTTTGTAAATTTGTTTATAAATATTTTTACTTTTATATTAAAATTTTAATTTGTTAAAAATAAAATATATTTCGTGTAAGAATGTGTACGCACCAATATTTTACCAAACTTACAGTAGGCTATGCCCTGCTGCTGCCTCACCCCTACCACCAAACAGCAGCCTCATGCCTTCAACCGTCACCGCCATTTTTCAAGCCTCCTGCAGAGATATCAACAAACCCCGGAATATCCGGAGCATTAAAAACACTTCATTATTAACACAGTGGATCCACAATATAGCTAGGATTATTTTTATCGTTTTTAGCTATGTAAAATTGGTTATAAGAACCAAAAGCATGTAACAAGAGGGGGGATCTGGCTCTCGATTATTCAGACCGAAAAATAGAAAAAAAAATATATCAAGGGTCTTCTTCCTCTCGGTTTTTTTTCAAGCAGAAATACAAGAGCCTTTTTGAAGGTAGTTTTTTTTCCTAATCGTTTTCTCTTTGTTGTTTAAAAGATAATAGAAACAAAACCAAAAAAAATAAATTAGAAGTAGAAGAGTAAGAGCAAGAGTACCTTGAGTTTGTGGTGCTCCTCTGTGAATAGGGTCGTAGGGGAGGTGATAGGAGTCGGGTTAGTCAAGTTCGGGCATCGACGCCGCCGTATATGGTGGTGGTTTTTTAGTTTCGAACCTCTCGACCAAATGATGGACGAAGAGGCTCGGATGGGTTTTCATCGGGGTTTATGGGCATTGGGTTTCGACGAGGCGATGGGTTTCGACGAGAGAAGGACCACCCATGTAGGGTGGCCGGGATGGTGGGCGTTTTGTTTCTTTGGTGAGTAGCCACCATGAGTTGAAGGAGAAGAGGAAAGGGAAATGAAAGTGGGGGAAGAAAACCATCGTGCAAATATGATTCTGGAAAGGGGAGATGTTTTTATTTTTAGTTTTTGGGGTAAATCATGCTTTAAGTCCCCCATTTTAGTGTGTTTCATGCTTAGTTATTAGTTTCAGGTTTAATCGTGTCACAGGTCCTCCTAGTTTTAGATTTTTTTGCAATTTAGTCACCATTTCCTTTTATTTTCTAAGATTTACGAATTAGATGCATGGTTTTGTATTATTTTAATTTAGTCCTCTGTTGTATGTTTTTTTTTCCGAAATTTGGTGCTGATATTTATGATATTCCATTTTAATCCTATAGTTATGGTTTTATTATGATTATAGTGCTTCTGTTTTGGTTATTTTCTTGTTTCATGCCATGATTTTTGTTTATTAATGTTTAATATCCTAAGGTTATTATATATATTTTTTTGTCACCATATAGTAAGTAGATTCATATGTATATTATTTATTTTACCATTAAAGTATGTTTTATGTTTTATATATTTATTTTGTTTGTATTATTATATATTACTTTGTATATAATATTATAGCATGATAGAAAAATTTTATTTTATATTTTTATTATATTTTAGAATAAATATCATGTGTTATGTTTAATAATATTTAGAAAATATGTATATATTTATAAAGTAATATAAAGTTAAAAATAAATTTAAAATGGTTCTTTTAATACACGTGTTTATATTTTTTCTCTAAGTGCTTCAATGTATCATATTTTATTTTGTTTAAAAGTCTCATTAGCATAACTTAACTGATTGCATAATTGGATTAAGGGTAGTATTTATGTGTATTAAAATATTAAGAAGGGACAGTCTTAAAACAACTAGATGTCCTTTTTCGATATTTTAAAATAAATAAATATCCCACTAGAAAAAGCTAAAAAATTGATTGTACTTAAAATTAATTAGTTTTGAGGGGAAAAGGAAATATTCATTATTTTAAACTTATCAAGACAATTTGCTAATTTTATTAGAGATTAAGTCTCGGTGTTTTTAAATTATTGAGTATCCCTTATCTTTTCTAATAATATTCGGATTAATAAATTAAATTTCTTTCTTTGGTAGAATAATTTTTTTTATATGGAATCCTTAGGAAAAATTATTATATTCTTTTTATTTCAGTTGAGAAGAGAAATATTCGTCCTAAAGTATTTTAGGGAGTATTTTATCTTCAATTGGAAATAAGAGAATATTTATATTTTTCCTTAGAATTTTTGTTCTATAATATTTGTATGGTTGAATTAGGAATAATGGAATCGCGATCTAAATATATATTCGAATTCTTAGATTTCTACTATTTAGAGACAATATATAATCGATGGGTACCAATTTTGGGCGTTGTGGGGGTGCTAATCCTTCCCCACACGTAATCGACCCCCGAACTTTTTTTTTATTAAAAGTGAATTTCTGGTTATACGTGGATCGATGCATCTTTTAAAATGAGGTTTTTTTCTTTAAAAAAAACTCTTTTAAAAGAAGATTTTTGGGTATTCGGCCTACCTAACCCAAAAGGTCGATGGCGACTCCGAAACATTTCTTTTACAAAATCGGGTTTTCACGAAATGAGTTGAGACTCGTCGTATCGCCGGAAATCGGTTACGAAAGCTTGGCGACTCCGCTGGGGACATTAGAGGCTCAAGCCTTAAATCGATTATATATGGTGTCTATAGTTAGAAATTGAGAATTCGGTTATATTTAATTTACGATTCCTTTGATTCCTTTCAATTGTTATTTAATATCTTTGTATACTAATGAGTGTATTTGATTAATTTTTAGATGTTAAAGTCTCAGATTCGCTTTAGTTCATTTTGTGTCGTTGTTTGTCAAAGGTTTGATAATTTCTCCTCACACACAACACTTGCATTGCATAACATAAGCTATATACATGAGCTCTTCCTTTTAAGTGGGAGTGAAAGCGACGTCTTCGTGAGAATTTATTCTCCGTGTCAAACCTAGCAATTAGCTTCCGGGGTACATATATCCTATGTCTTCGTGAGAATTTATTCTCCGTGTCAAGCATAGGGAAATGTGCCCCCTCGAATTGAACTCGATCCGCTTAAGCCTATAATGGGTGAGGATTGAGGGTCTGGCTCGCCCAAGGGGGCACCAACAAGGACAATTCGAGTACCTTTACTCTTAGAACCGAAACACTGCATATAATAAACCATAGAAACCCACCCGATTTAAGACCAAGCCGAAACTCTGTCCATAGGTACCCAAATAAGTGTACACAAAGGAGAAATGAACTCTAACCTTTTTTTAAATTTATTTTTATAAATGCATGTGAATTAGAAAATTATGCGGTTTAAGGTTTATCTTATTATTTTAAGTATATGGGTTAGAAAGCATGATTGGGTAGGATTGTTATTTATTAAAAAGTATGTTTGGGTAGCTATCATGATGGGTAGGGTTTTTTTTTCTTTTTTCAAAATTTTATTAACTCATTACATGTACTAACTCGTTTCATTTTCTTGTTTCCTTTCATTTTTTATATTTGCATTGCAGCATTCAAGATTGAGGGTGTTGATCTTTAGTTAATCATCAAATTGGAAAGCTTTCAGTAATGGACGAAAAGTATTCGAGTCAAATTGTTCAAAACTCCGAGGTACGACAGTGGTCTGAAGCACTACAAAGACAAGAAGGGGACAGTTTGCAAGCCGATCATGTGTCAGAATTATTGGGTTATGCTCCTATTTCTCTTAAAAGAAATGACGTCCAAGACTTACGAGACATTTGGGAAAAATGGGAATCAAGTAAGAAACTGCAGTTTTACCAGTGTTATGGGGACATTTCCTATCTGTTGTATGTTGACATAGAGGATGAGCTGCTCCGAGCCTTGATTCAATTTTGGAATCCAGGTTACAACTGCTTTACTTTCAATCAAGAAGATATGGTTCCTACCATCGAAGAATATATTGCTTTGTTGCACATAGAAGAGGCTCAAGAGAATCGGATTTATTCCAAGTCCATCAAAACTCAACCCTTCAAAATCAAATTAGCAAAAATTGCGGGAGTGCGCGAGGAATGGGTGGTTGCTCGTACCAAACAAAAAGGCGAAAGCGAAGGTATTTCTTGGAGTGCTATTAAAGAAATTATTCAAAGTCATCCTGACGAGAAAATTCGATTTGATCTTTTTGCACTGGGTATTTATGGCTTAGTCATCTTCCCGAAGGCCTTGGGATATATTGAAGCTGCAGTTGTGGATTTATTTGAACAATTGCCAAAAAAAATCAACCCTGCTCCTGTGATTTTAGCAGAGACCTTCCGATCCTTGAATGCTTGTCGAAGACTTGGAGGTGGTCGATTTTCAGGGTGCGCACAACTACTATATGTCTGGATACGTAGTCATTTTTGGAAAATTGAAAAGATTTCATATCATCGTTTTAGTACCAGCTACTCGCCTTTGAGAGAATTCCTCGAGCAAGATTGGCCAAAAGGAGTCACTAAAGACATGTGGATAGATGCCTTTAGAAATATACGAGACAAAGACATTGTTTGGCGCGCCCCTTGGCAAATACAAAGTGAACTCCTCTATAAATGTGGTGACTACAATTGGGTGATGTTGCTTGGTTTGTGGGGAGGAATTGGGTACGTACCCCTTTTGGTTTTGAGGCAATATGATGGCCGTCAATTTGTCCCAGTCACTGCTGGATTGCACTCATCTGAATTCGTGTTTCACGGAAACAATTATAAGAAAAACATCCTTCAGGCAGTTAGAGCATGGAAAAGGACTTTCCGTACTAGAGCTGGGGCAGCTAAAGTGATGTTGACCCCAGATTATGAGGAGTGGAGATATGCTAGAAAGAATGAAAATATTCCTCTACCTTACCAAAATGAGGATATCTCTATGGAAGAAAGAATTCAGATAGTCCCATCAGAGGTAGAGATCTTGAGAACGGAGTTCGAGGCAGAGAAAGAAGGTTGGTCAAAAGAATTGGAACAGATGCGACAAGACAAATACATGTTGAGTATCGATGCTGACTTTCATGCTGCACAATTTGCAATGCTAAAAGTGAGAAAAGAAAAAATAGAATCGGATTTAAAAGATCTGAAGAAGGATTACTACAAGCTGCAAAAATCTAGGTCCACAGTTGGGTCAAGCAGAACGTCAGCACAATTAACCAAAGAGTTAAACGAAGAGAAACATCGAGTCAAAAGTATGAAGGCAAGAAACGATCGTCTACTCAAGAGCTTAGAGAAAGGGAAGCAAAAAGTAGAAGAGCTTGAGCTTGTTAAGAGGGAGCGGATCATAAAATATAAAGCTGAGAATCGCGAAGCTATGAAAGAATTAAAAAGGGAGAAAGATCGTGTCAAAGAACTGGAAGACGAAAAGAATAGCATTCTTGAGGGGTTCGAGGCTGAGAAGACCATCATGTTCAGAGGATTTGAAGCCGAAATGAATAACATGCTTGTCGAACTTGATGATAGAGGATAAAGAATCGAAGAATTAGATACTGAAAGGAATAGATGGGAATTGGAAAAGCAACACTTCAATACTACGCTTGAAGCAAGGCAAGAGACAACCAACGGTTGGATAAAAAGGTGTGGAGACAAAAATACAGAAGTACGAAGTCTCAATCGAAGGATGCAGGAAAGACATACAAGACTTGAAGAGGATCTGGCTCAGTGTCGGGCTAAAAACACAGAATTCAGTGATTACATCCTACAACTCGAAGAATCCTTGTTCCAAGAAAATATTCTTCAGGGACCGAGTGATCTTCAGGAAAGTCTTGAAGAGAATGCCTTGCTGCGAAAGCAAATTCAACATCTGGAAAGTGCACTGCAGAGTTGTAATGTACGAATTAATGAGCTAGAGCAAAATTTTCAAGGAACTACTGAACAGTGGCAAAAATCAAATGATTTCTATGAAGAACAAAATGCAGCCAGAAGCAACATGGTAGCCGAGGCCATAATACAGATGAGTGAAGTTGCCAGATACATTGGAGAACTAGCTGTCGAAGCAAAGGTCATCGAGCACCACATCAATCCGATTTCTAAGTGTGGGAAGAAGATGTTGTGGATGATTAGTGAAATTGCTGAGCTTAATAGAAGAGCTAGGCCGTATCTGTGAACTATTATGTAATGAAACTTTTTGTTGCAATGGATGTTAAACTAAGCCGTATCTGTAGAAGTGAACTATTATGTAATGAAAACTTTTTGTTATAATGGAAGTTGTTCTATGACAATTAACTTTTTTGGATCAATACCTCTTGCATACATTCATTCTTCATTTGTATTTATTTATGTATGAATTTTAAATATTTCGCATTAAGACATGCATTCATTAATTAAAAGCACCAAAATAATACGATAAGGTTTCCAATCGCAGCTACCCTGGCCCCTGTTAGCAACAAAGAAACGCAACATTCTTACTATACCAGGAAAGTGAGTAAGAAGATGGACGACAAATTGGACCGTCTCGAGCAAGAGCAGAAAGTCATGCAGGCAGAAATGAGAAGTAAATTTGAAAAGATTGAGACCGACATTGCCAGTTCACAACTGAATATGCTACAGAAATTAGAGGACCTTTTCAAGAAACATGCTGAAAAGAGTCATGCTGGAAATCCCGCCTCCTCTAACCAAGATTCCATACCCCCTCCAGGGATCACAACAGAATCTGGTCCTCCTCTTGGTTTCACACCTATACACATCTCTGCTCGTTCTTCGATACCTCAAGAAGCTCGATCTCATGCATATGTCAGCAATGATAATCAACAACAATAAATGGGATCCACATTCCCAAATAGCTATCAGTCTGTTCCAGGAATAAGGCTAGGAGAATTTAGTACTGAGCACCTAATCCCAGATCTAAATGAGTTAGCCGAAAAGGAGAAAGCCAATGAAGAAATAACTCAACAGTTGAAGAATTTGGAAGAAAGGGTAAAATCGGTAGAAGTGGTTGAATCATTCTATGGGTTTGACGCTAGAGAGCTGAGTTTGGTACCAGACTTGATCATCCCTATGAAGTTCAAGGTTCTCGAATTTGAAAAATACGATGGTACCACATGCCCTTCATCTCATATCACCATGTTTTGCCGAAGGATGGCCGGCCATGTACAAGACGAAAAGCTACTGATTCACTGTTTTCAAGACAGTCTGAAAGGATCTGCCGCCAAATGGTACAACCAATTAACTAGGGCTCACATTAAATCATGGAGAGACTTGGCAAAGGCATTCCTAGAACAGTATCGCCATGTCACAGATATGGTTCCTGATCGGTGGACTCTTCAGAATATGGAAAAGAGAAATAATGAGACTTTCCGACAATATGCCCAGAGGTGGCGTGACGTAGCCGCACAGGTCCAACCCCCTTTACTTGAAAAAGAAGCTACTGTAATTTTTGTCAATACCTTGAAGGCTCCGTACTTAGGGCATTTACTTGGAAATGCCACTAAAAACTTTGCTGATCTAGTTATCTCAGGGGAGCTCATCGAGAACGCTATAAAGAGTGGCAAGATCGAGGCAGTTGATGGGTCCAGTTCAAAAAAACCAGTATACCGGAAAAAAGAAAACGAAGTTAATAATGCAAATGTATACAACAAGAATACTTCAAAAAGTGTCACAATAACCCAACCAAGAGATGAAAGGAATGACACGAGCACCGCCAGAAATGATTCCAAGGGACCTCGCAAGGAGAATGAGAGAATGTCCTTCACACCACTACCAGTACCCTACTCTGAGATATACGCCTCGTTGTTAAAGGCGGATGTGGTGCGCCCTTATCGTTTGACTCCTCTGCAACCACCGTACCCTCATTGGTATGACGTAAATGCACATTGTGATTACCACGATGGAATTACTGGTCACTCTATTGAGAACTGTTTGGCCTTCAAAAAAGTTGTGCAAAATCTGATTAATACTGGGGGATTGCAATTTGATTCACCTGATGTATCAACACACCCACTACCGAATCATGGAGGTAAAGGTGTAAACGCAGTCCATGAGGAGAATAGGAAAAAAACGAAGACAGATGTTGATGAAATCAAATCTCCCTTCATTTGGGTGTTCCAACAACTTTATCATGTCGGCATGGTTCAACAAGATCCTAAACCAAAACCCAATGAATGCGAAAATTATTGTGAATATCACCAAGAAGAAGGACACAAAATTCAACTTTGCCCTGAATTTAGGGGGTTACTACAAAAGTTGATCGACAACAAGGAAATAGAATTCTTTGAGAAAGATGAGGAAAAAAGAGGAGAAGATGTCTGCACAACCGAAAATTCCAAGCCAATGCATAAAACAAATAAGCATGTGGTCATCACTGTGAGACCATCTGCGATGAATTCCACGTCAGTGAAGCCAAAAGTTGTTATCACGGCCCCTTCACCATTTCCGTTTAAAGATACCCACAAGGTACCTTGGAACTACACTGCCAGTGTTTCAATGATAAGGGGACCTGGTTCGCTAGAGGAAACAAAAGTAGCTGAAGAAAATGATAAAACACCAGGAAGCAGCTTGAAGAATGAAATAGTGAGTGAAGTAGGGCACTTTACAAAAAGTGGAAGGTGTTACTCTCCTGAAACATCAAAAGAAGCAGACAATGGGAAATTGAAAGGAAAAGCTGCAGTGGTACCGCAAAGGATATTTAATGATGAGCCCCTACCACTAATCAATGAGTCGGTAACTGAAGCACAAGCACAAGAATTCTTGAAATTCTTAAAACATAGTGAGTATAGTGTAGTAGAGCAGCTACATAAGCAACAAGCACGAATTTTAATTCTGGATCTGTTAATGAATTTAGAAGTACATCGGAATGCTCTACTTAGAGTGCTCAATCAAACATTTGTGCCTGAGGATATAACAGTGAACAAGTTGGATCGAATTGTGGGGCATATAGCTGCAGACAATTACATAACATTCACTGATGATGAAATTCCTGATGGTGGAATGGGATCGGTAAAAGCCCTCAATATCACAACCCACTGCCATGGTCATGTTTTACCAGGTGTTTTGATTGACAATGGGTCGGCACTCAATGTTATGCCTATGGCCACATTACGAAGATTACCAGTGGACAACTCACATATGAGGGCCTACCAAAATGTTGTTAGAGCCTTTGATGGAACCCAGCGGGATGTCCTTGGAAAGATGGAGGTACCATTATTGATTGGACCAACTGTTTACAATATTGATTTTGTGGTAATGGATATCAACCCATCATATAACTGCTTGCTTGGGAGACCATGGATTCATTCTGCAGGGGCAGTCCCTTCGTCATTGCATCAGAAATTGAAATTTGTGACAGATGGCCAGTTAATCAGTATTGGGGCAGAGGAAGAGATCATTGCTTCCGTGACGACTGACACCCCTTACATTGAGACCAATGAGAATGCCCTAGAGTGTTCCTTCAGAGCCTTAGAATTTGTCAACGCTACTTTCATTGCTGAAGGAAACAAGATTCCTCACCCGCATTTATATGAGTGCACTAAGATGACTGTGCGAGAGACTCTAGGAAAAGGAGCTAAAATTGGAAAGGGTCTCGGTAGATGCTTGCAGGGGACTTTACATACCAAATTTGTTATGATGAAGAGCGACTGATTTGGGCTTGGGTTTGAGCCTGATTCTCAGCAAAGAAAGAAAGAATTAAAGAGGAGATGTGAAGTAAGAAGAGCTAGACTGAAAAGAGAGGACATTCCGTGGGATCGTATGTTTTTCCCTCCCTTAAAGAGCTCATTCAAGTTTGGAGGAGTGAACGATATGGAGCAACAGTTAGCCAGAGCAACTGATGAAGGAAAGTAGATGAAAGACAAAGACTTGTTTGACGAAGCCATGGAGGGTTTGGTCATCAACATGATAACTGGGGACGATAAAGCGGGAAAATATTTGGCTAGAATTCGTCCTTGCTTCTCAGGAGAAACGCTGAAAAATTGGACTGCAGAGGATCTCCCTGTAGTTGTTAAGATTAATTCAGAGTAATACCCAAAACTAATCCTTATACTTGTGCCCGCGAGTATTAAGGAATCTTTTTGTAAGGGCAGCTATGTTAACTCTACTTGCTTTCAATGAAAGACATATTTTTGTTTCTCAAATGGCCATCATTATTTACATTTTCATTCTTTGTTCTTCATCCTTTACATTCATTTCATAAATTTTGTCTCTCCTCCCAAATATATATTCGATTCAATTTTTTCCCTTTGCAGGTGTCACAATATCAATAGCATGAATGTTTCTAAATTTAATCCTGAGATAAACTTTGAGCGACCCATATGTTTGGAAGAACTCAATGAGTGTCAGGATGAGGTAGAATGTGATGTTCCTAACGAACTAGTAAGACTGGTGGAAAATGAGGAAAACAGATCTTATCTCACCAGGAGGAGACTGAGATTATAAACTTGGGAACTGATGATGAAAAGAGAGAAGTAAAAATTGGCAGTGCACTTTCAGTTAAAATAAGACGAGACCTAATAGATATGCTCCGAGAATTCAAAGACATCTTTGCGTAGTCTTACCAAGATATGCCAGGGTTGAGTACAAACATAGTGGTGCACAAGCTTCCAATAAAGCCTGAGTGTAAGCCAGTTCAACAAAAGCTCAGAAGAATGAGGCCAGAAATGCTGTTAAAAATTAAAGAGGAAGTGATGAAACAGATTGATGCAGGGTTTCTTTAGGCAGCAAAATATCCGGAATGGGTCGCTAACATAGTCCCCGTGCCAAAGAAAAATGGAAAAGTTCGCATGTGTGTGGATTATAGAGATCTCAACAGAGCAAGCCCAAAAGACAATTTTCCGTTGCCTCATATAGATACTCTAGTGGATAACATTGCTGGGCATTCGTGGTTTTCTTTTATGGATGGCTTCTCTGGCTATAACCAAATCAAAATGAACACTGAAGACATGGAAAAAACCACATTTGTGACTATGTGGGGCACATTTTGCTATAAAGTGATGCCATTTGGTTTGAAAAATGCTGGGGCAACTTACCAAAGAGCTATGGTGACTCTTTTCCACGATATGATGCACAAAGAGATTGAAGTGTACGTAGATGACATGATTGCCAAATCCAAGACTGAAGAAGAACACATTCAAAACTTGAAGAAACTTTTCCAAAGATTGAGAAAATATCAATTGAAACTCAATCCAACTAAATGTACCTTCGGGGTAATGTCAGGGAAACTCTTAGGCTTCGTGGTTAGTCAAAGAGGAATTGAGATCGATCCGGACAAAGTAAAGGCCATTCAAGATCTTCCACCACCTCGTACACAAAAAGAAGTTCGAGGTTTTCTGGGAAGGTTAAATTATATATCTCGATTCATTTCGCAATTAACTGAGAAATGCGACCCAGTTTTCAAGTTGCTTCGAAAGAACAACCCCGAAGTTTGGAATGACGAGTGCCAAAATACTTTAGAGATAATCAAGAAATATTTGTCCAATGCTCCAATTCTGGTATCACCAGTCCCTGGTAAACCATTAATCCTTTACCTAACGGTCTTTGAGAATTCGATGGGGTGTGTGTTAGGGCAGCACGATGAATCTGGAAGGAAAGAGAGAGCCATCTATTATTTGAGCAAAAAGTTCACAGATTATGAGATCCGATATCCGCCAATTCAAAAGTTATGTTGTGCTTTGGTATGGGCTACCAGAAGGCTCAGGCAATACATGTTGTACCATACTACCTGGTTGATATCCAAACTTGACCCATTGAAATATTTGATGGAATCACCGGCTCTAGCTGGTAGATTGGCTAGGTGGCAGATGTTGTTATCAGAATTTGACATTGTGTATGTAAACAAAAAAGCGGTCAAAGGGAGTGTCATAGCAGATTTTCTTGCAAGTCGTGCCTCGGATGATTATGAGTCCTTAAACTTTAATTTTCCTGACGAAGATCTGATGTGCGTCACAATCGAGGATGAAACAGTTTCAAATGATAAGTCTTGGAGGTTATATTTTGATGGGGCATCCAATGCTTTAGGACGAGGAATTGGAGCTGTACTAATTTCCCCGGAAGATGTATACTATCCTTTTACAAGCATATTGGAGTTCTTGTGCACCAATAATATGTCAGAATATGAGGCTTGTGCCATGGGGTTAAGAGCGGCCATGGAAAGGAAAATTAAAGAGCTCAAAGTATATGGAGATTCCTCACTGGTGGTGTACCAATTGCGTGTAGAATGGGAAACAAGAGATCCGAAGTTAGTGGAATACAAAAGATTGATCCTTGAATTGGTAAAAGAATTTGAAGATGTCACTTTCAATTATCTCCCTAGAGAAGATAATCAAATGGCAGATGCTTTGGCCACACTGGCTGCAATATTTCAAGCAAATAGAAAAACTGACATGACACCAATTAAAATGCAAATATATAAAACCCCGGCACACTGTTATATCCTAGAAGAAGAGGTAGATGGTCGTCCATGGTATTATGACATCTTGCAATACATCAAGCATCAAACTTACCCACAACAGGCGTCTGAGATTGATAAAAAGACAATAAGGAGAATGGCTGTTGGATATATCTTGGATGGGGAAGTTTTGTACAGAAAGGGTAGTGATCAAGTTTTGATGAGATGCGTGGATGCCCGAGAAGCAAGAAGTATACTTGAAGAGGTGCATGAAGGGATATGTGGAACACATGCAAATGGGCTTTCTATGGCCAAGAAGATCATGAGATACGGATACTATTGGGCCACTATGCATTCAGACTGTGTTGATTACGCAAGAAGATGTCACAAATGTCAAATCTATGGAGATAAGATCCATACACCTCCGTCACCTTTGCACGTGATGACTGCACCATGGCCGTTTTCTATGTGGGGTATGGATGTCATTGGGGCAATTACACCAAAGGCTTCGAATGGACATCGCTTCATACTTGTGGCAATTGATTACTTCACTAAGTGGGTTGAGGCCGTCTCATATGCCAATATCACGAGATCTACAGTTTTCAAATTCATAAAGAAAGAGATAATTTGTCGGTATGGGCTGCCAGAAAGAATCATCACAGATAACGCCACCAATCTGAATAACACAATGATGGTAGAACTTTGTGCTCAGTTCAAGATAAAACATTCTAATTCAGTGACTTACCGTCCAAAGATGAATGGAGTAGTGGAAGCAGCAAATAAAAATATTAAGAGGATCATTACAAAGACCACTGATACTTATAGAGATTGGCACGACAAATTACCCTTTGCTTTGTATGCATATCGAACTACAGTGCGAACTTCGATAGGGACAACACCTTTCTCTTTAGTCTATGGGGTGGAGGCAGTCTTGCCAGTGGAAGTGGAAATCCCATCACTTCGAATTTTGAAAGAGGTGAAGTTGGATGAAGCTGAATGGGTTCAGGCTCGGTTTGACCAGTTGAATCTCTTTGAAGAAAAGAGATTAAAAGCTATTTGCCACGGTCAGATGTATCAGAAACGGATGATGAGAGCTCATGATAAGAAGATTCATCCAAGAGAATTTCGAGAGGGTGATCTGGTGCTAAAAAAGATCCTGCCAATTCATAAAGATTTCCGAGGGAAATGGATGCCTAATTGGGAAGGTCCATATGTTGTCAATAAGGCCTTTTCTGGGGGAGCGTTGATTTTGGCAGAGATGGATGGAAAAAAACTGAGAAATCCGGTAAACTCAGATTCTGTCAAGAAGTACTATGCTTGAAAAAAAATGAATGGAAAAATGAAAAAGTGAAAAAGAAAAAAATAAGAAAAAAAATGAAAAAAATGAAAAAAGGAAAAGGAAAAAAGAAAAAGGAGGGTTCGAGATGAAAATCCACAAAGGACATCTTGAAACCAAAGGAAGGCTTTGAGTTGAAAACCTGAAAATGCGGCTCAAAGGTATTTTGAGATTAGACATCAGGCAGATAAACCCTCTCGACAGTCTGATATTTTGAGAGAAGCTTCACGTCTACAGACATTCTGGCAACCCTTGAAGTCCTCCAGACAGAAGCTCAATTCAATGCTCCGAGTTATATCAAGTGGATTGGTTCAGGAATACTCGTGCTAGTGACTTATAGGGACATCTGACTTGTAGTTCTAAATTTCCACTATTTATATGATTGCCATCACTTTGTAAAATCAATTCCTTGTCAGTAAATTCGAAGTTTGTTATTTCAAGCCCAATTCTATTCGTTCTGTACATACACATAAACATCTTGTAAGTAGATTGACATGGCACTAAAAAGAAAATAAAAGATTTCTTGGTATTACTTTGAACTAATATTTCCACTACATAGAGTCTAAAATAAGTCAGGACCCTATTACTCGTGTATATAGTCGAAGAGTGTAGGGTAAAACATGGCCAAGGAAAATGCAAGTGAGCTGAAATCTCGAAAAGCACATTGAAAACAATGATATTTTGGTGTGTGCTAAGACTGAATCTTGTCAATAAATTATTTACCTGACAGAGATGAGCAGTTCAAATGGAAGCGAAAAAGGATTTGTATGGGAACGAGAAAAATGAGAACTTGTATAAAGTAGCCCAAGCAAAGTGTGGAACGCAAATGAAGGATCACATGACGCATTTGAATTGAATATTTGCATGACAACAGAGCTCACCATATTAAAACAACATCATGCATACATCAGTAGGCATCTATAAATAGGAGCATACTCACACATTCATGTTCATTGAAATGCTTTGACAGAAATGCAGGGATATTAACAACAACTCAAATCCACTGCAGAAGGAGGTGAACCAACATTTCCAGAAGAGTTCATAATGAGAAGAACTCGTCCTAAAGGAGAAGGTTCGTAATGAGAAGAGCATGTTCCTTTCAAATCCACCACAGAAGGAGGTGACCCAACATTTCCAGAAGAGTTCATAATGAGAAGAACTCATCCTAAAGGAGAAGGTTCGTAATGAGAAGAGCCTGTTCCTTTCAAATTCACCCAGAAGGAGGTGAACCGACATTTCCAGAAGAGTTCATAATGAGAAGAACTCGTCCTAAAGGAGAAGGTTTGTAATGAGAAGAACTTGTTCCTTTCAAATTCACACCAGAAGGAGGTGAATCAACATTTCCAGAAGAGTTCATAATGAGAAGAACTCATCCAAAAAAAAGAGAAGAAGTTCATAATGAGAAGAACTTGTTCAACCTTAGCTCGATTCATCGCATATGGAGTTGAATCAACAACACCTCACTTGAGGGATCAACACTTCAAATGGAGAGTTCATAATGAGAAGAACTCATCCGATAAAGGGAGAAGAAGTTCATAATGAGAAGAGCTTGTTCGACCTATCACTTGATTCATTATATTTTGAATCAGTGACGCCTCGCTTGAGGGAATGACATTTCATATGGAGAGTTCATAATGAGAAGAACTCATCTGACAGAGGGAGAAGAAGTTCATAATGAGAAGAGCTTGTTCGACCTATTGCTCGATTCACAACACTTCGAATCAACAATACCTCGCTTGAAGGATCAACATTTTCAGTGGAGAGTTCATAATGAGAAGAACTTATCCGATGAGAGGAAAGAAGTTCGTAATGAGAAGAACTTGTTCAACCTTAACTTGTTTCCATCGCATATGGAGTTGGAACAACACCAACATTTTGTTCATCACAGAATGAGGTGGATCAACATTTTCATTTCACTTAAATCCATCACATAAGGATTTGGATCAACATCACCTTGAGTCAACCATCGAAGAAGATAGTTGGATTGACGTCCCCAGCGAAGAGTTCATAATGAGAAGAACTCACCCGATAAGAAGAACTTGGAGCTCGAGTGTTTGACGGTCCGATCAGAAGAAAAATTGGTGCTTTATGTCTTTGCTCTATTCCTGTTCCACAGCAACGAGCAAAGAGGGGCAGCTGTACGCATCAATATTTTACCAAACTTACAGTAGGCTATGCCCTGCTACTGCCTCACCCCTACCACCAAACAGCAGCCTCATGCCTTCAACCGTCACCGCCATTTTTCAAGCCTCCTGCAGAGATATCAACAAACCCCGGAATATCCGGAGCATTAAAAACACTTCATTATTAACACAGTGGATCCACAATATAGCTAGGATTATTTTTATCGTTTTTAGCTATGTAAAATTGGTTATAAGAACCAAAAGCATGTAACAAGAGGGGGGATCTGGCTCTCGGTTATTCAGACCGAAAAATAGAAAAAAAAATATATCAAGGGTCTTCTTCCTCTCGGTTTTTTTTCAAGCAGAAATACAAGAGCCCTTTTGAAGGTAGTTTTTTTTTCCTAATCGTTTTCTCTTTGTTGTTTAAAAGATAATAGAAACAAAACAAAACAAAAAATAAATTAGAAGTAGAAGAGTAAGAGCAAGAGTACCTTGAGTTTGTGGTGCTCCTCTGTGAATAGGGTCGTAGGGGAGGTGATAGGAGTCGGGTTAGTCAAGTTCGGGCATCGGCGCCGCCGTATATGGTGGTGGTTTTTTAGTTTCGGACCTCTCGACCAAATGATGGACGAAGAGGCTCGGATGGGTTTTCATCGGGGTTTATGGGCATTGGGTTTCGACGAGGCGATGGGTTTCGACGAGAGAAGGACCACCCATGTAGGGTGGCCGGGATGGTGGGCGTTTTGTTTCTTTGGTGAGTAGCCACCATGAGTTGAAGGAGAAGAGGAAAGGGAAATGAAAGTGGGGGAAGAAAACCATCGTGCAAATATTATTCTGGAAAGGGGAGATGTTTTTATTTTTAGTTTTTGGGGTAAATCATGCTTTAAGTCCCCAATTTTAGTGTGTTTCATGCTTAGTTATTAGTTTCAGGTTTAATCGTGTCACAGGTCCTCCTAGTTTTAGATTTTTTTGCAATTTAGTCACCATTTCCTTTTATTTTCTAAGATTTACGAATTAGATGCATGGTTTTGTATTATTTTAATTTAGTCCTCTGTTGTATGTTTTTTTTTCGAAATTTGGTGCTGATATTTATGATATTCCATTTTAATCCTATAGTTATGGTTTTATTATGATTATAGTGCTTCTGTTTTGGTTATGTTCTTGTTTCATGCCATGATTTTTGTTTATTAATGTTTAATATCCTAAGGTTATTATATATATTTTTTTGTCACCATATAGTAAGTAGATTCATATGTATATTATTTATTTTACCATTAAAGTATGTTTTATGTTTTATATATTTATTTTGTTTGTATTATTATATATTACTTTGTATATAATATTATAGCATGATAGAAAAATTTTATTTTATATTTTTATTATATTTTAGAATAAATATCATGTGTTATGTTTAATAATATTTAGAAAATATGTATATATTTATAAAGTAATATAAAGTTAAAAATAAATTTAAAATGGTTCTTTTAATACACGTGTTTATATTTTTTCTCTAAGTGCTTCAATGTATCATATTTTATTTTGTTTAAAAGTCTCATTAGCATAACTTAACCGATTACATAATTGGATTAAGGGTAGTATTTATGTGTATTAAAATATTAAGAAGGGACAGTCTTAAAACAACTATATGTCCTTTTTTCGATATTTTAAAATAAATAAATATCCCACTAGAAAAAGCTAAAAAATTGATTGTACTTAAAATTAATTAGTTTTGAGGGGAAAAGGAAATATTCATTATTTTAAACTTATCAAGACAATTTGCTAATTTTATTAGAGATTAAGTCTCGGTGTTTTTAAATTATTGAGTATCCCTTATCTTTTCTAATAATATTCGGATTAATAAATTAAATTTCTTTCTTTGGTAGAATAATTTTTTTTATATGGAATCCTTAGGAAAAATTATTATATTCTTTTTATTTCAGTTGGGAAGAGAAATATTCGTCCTAAAGTATTTTAGGGAGTATTTTCTCTTCAATTGGAAATAAGAGAATATTTATATTTTTCCTTAGAATTTTTGTTCTATAATATTTGTATGGTTGAATTAGGAATAATGGAATCGCGATCTAAATATATATTCGAATTCTTAGATTTCTACTATTTAGAGACAATATATAATCGATGGGTATCAATTTTGGGCGTTGTGGGGGTGCTAATCCTTCCCCACACGTAATCGACCCCCGAACTTTTTTTTTATTAAAAGTGAATTTCTGGTTATACGTGGATCGATGCATCTTTTAAAATGAGGTTTTTTTCTTAAAAAAAAACTCTTTTAAAAGAAGATTTTTGGGTATTCGGCCTACCTAACCCAAAAGGTCGATGGCGACTCCGAAACATTTCTTTTACAAAATCGGGTTTTCACGAAATGAGTCGAGACTCGTCGTATCGCCGGAAATCGGTTACGACAGAATGTCATTTTCAATAATATATTAAATAATATTATATTCTAATAGTTTGCGGTAGACTAAAAAACGGTTAAAATAAGGCGTTATCGGTTTTGTTATTGTGTTAAATAATAAAACCGGTAAAAATTACCAGAAACATTATTAAGCGCTATTGATTTTGTTATTATTGGGTGTTTTTACCGGATTTTCGAAAAAAAAATACCGGAAACATTATTAGGCTTAAAAAATGACCGGATTAACATAATATTTTAGGTAATTACCAGAAAAAATTTAGATACTTTTTACCGATTTTATTATTTAAACAATAATAAAATCGATAACACCTTATTTTAACCGTTTTTAAGTTTACCACACTGTAGAACTTCACTCGTTTCTAGTTATTCAATTTACTTGGATCTCAAAGAAACCAAGACTATGAGTCCAAGTACAACCCTGGTAAATCGGAGAAAGGGTTGAGCGAATTAGGAAGAAATGAAAATATATTTAGTTTTTTACCGAGACTAATTATTATCGAATAACTAATTTTAAATGTGAATACAAACATAAAATTTTATATTAGAAAATAAATTTTAAATTTTTTAAAAAGATTATATTTATAAAATTTTAAAAGAATAAAATTAAATTTATAAAAAAATATAAAAAAATAAAGATATTTAGTAATTTTAAATTTTAAAAAGAGGATTCGTCTTAATCAATGGGTACTTAAATGCAAACTCCAAGCTTTGTCTAGATCGTGTGAGGTGAACCGATGGGTTAAAAGGTCCCTTCGACTCACTGTTAAGGGCAACTCCAACCTTTGTCTAGATTGTCTTAGGTCGTTCCATAAAAGTATGAACATGCTTACCTGTCACTTGGCTGTTGCCTTCAGCAAGAAACATCAATCATTGCCATCCCATGAGTTTAATAATGACGAATATAACTTGCCTTCAGCAGGTAAATAAATCTTTAACATTCTTTTCTAAAACAGGCAAATAGTAATTATTCTTAAAATCTTAGGGTTTCATTTTCATTCGTGAAGGAGACGACAATTCAGTCAAATAGTATTCTTCTTCTTCTTCCATCTGGAGAGTCATGTGGACAAACAGTTTATACACCGGTTGCTTTTGTCATCCCTGATGAGTCCCCTGCCGCAGCTATTCTGTAGGAGTGGCTGCATGCTCCATCTGTATCGAGAAGCCAATATCTCTTAGGAGGCTTGGACCATTTAACCCAACGTGAATCTCTGATAACGCCTAATTTCTCAATTTCTTTAGCTTTTTGTATAATTTTCACCCACTACAGCAAAAATAGTTTTTAGCGGCGGATGTACCGGCGTTTTTACTGCAAACGCCGGTAATTGTTTACATATAGCGGCGTTTTGAACAAACGCCGCAAAATATTATACTTTAGTGGCGTTTGTATAAAAACGCCGCTAAAGAATCGTAATGTAGTGGCATTTTTATACAAACGCCGCTATAAACTAGTATTTTAGTGGCGTTTTTATACAAACGCTGCTATAGACACGTACTTTTGTGGCATTTTAATACCAAACGACGCTATAGACTCATACTTTAGTGGCATTTTTACACAAACGCCGCTATAGACAAGTACTTTTGTGGCGTTTTAATACCAAATACCGCTATAGATTCGTACTTTAGTGGCGTTTTTACACAAACGCCGCTATAGACACGTACTTTTGTGGCGTTTTAATAACAAACGCCGCTATAGACTCGTACTTTAGTGGCGTTTTAATACCAAACACCGCAATTGTCATATAACCTAGTGGCGTTTACGTAAAAAAATGTTGCTACTGAAAACTACTTTAACATATCGAAACAAAACCCTAATTTCATAGATTCAGTCTGGGCATCGAAATATATCTCCCCTCCCTTTTATCTCTTCGCATCCACTATCATCCTTTGATCCTTCGACCTCCATTGTTCGATCCATCTTCCCCTTACATTCAACCCAGATATCTCCATTCTTTTCATTCCCCTCTTTCATTGCTTTTAGACATCTCTCTCTTCCATTTCTCTCTGCAGGCACAAGGCGCAACAATGGCTTCCAAATTTCTGCAGCTCTATGGTAAAATTCGGCTTTTAAATTCCTTCAGAAACCGTTTATTTCGTATTTCTTGAGTTTATTTACTTCTGGTTTTGATAGTCTACGATTATAATATCAGCAACAGTGATGTGAGTTTTGAGTTTAAAATAATAATAATAATTATGGCATGATTATAATATGATTAGGAATGCATTACAACTTTACCAATGTAGAAATGTTTTAGTTTCATTTGATTGTACTAGGACTAGTAGGACAAGTGTAGAATGTTTTGTTCAATCATTTGATTGTTAATAGAAATCCAAGTGGGTGTCAGAAACTAGTTCTAGTTTAAATTTATTGTAGACACATGTCCTTGTACTGATGGTCCAAGTTAAAATCTCTTGGATTAATGGGTTATTTTCTAATACTCTTAGGTTCGGTGGTTGGGAGATGATTGGTTTCTTTACTTGAAGTAAGGTTTCGAATAGATGAGAATATAAGCTTCATCTTAAATATCCTTTTAATTTTTGCTTCTAATCTTGTTTATTTGCTTCAATTTTTGATTTTATTTCCATATTTGAGTTCTTTCTCAGATATTTTATCTTGTTAACCATCAAGCCTTTTTTTGCAGGTCTCTCTGGATCTTGTGAAAAGTTTATATGCAAAGTTTATTGATTGGGATTCTGAGATGATAGATTATGAGACTGGTATTCCTTCACATGCAACGAAGTAAGTATTTTTTCCAAGAAATCAATTAGTTGGAGTGCCCTTCTTAGTATACAAAGCTGGTAGCTAAGTTGATGTCACTCAAACTGAACATTATCTGTTCAAATGTTTGAGTCTTGTATGACTTGGCACACTTAACTCTCCTTTTGTTTATCTTTCTCCCTTTTGTTTTTACTTTTCACAACTCTTACCTCTCTCTTTTTTTCCTTACTATATTATTAAGTTTATTTTTACAACTAAAACTTTGTTATATAGGAGTTGTTTTTGAAAAGAATTATATGCAATTATTTAGCTACATGGTTGGATTCTGCCATAGATTTTAGTGAATGTATATATTTGATAAAATTGGTTTGTTTTTATGTGGCAGCACAGCAATAAGTGAGGACCTTGGACAAGTTGAGTACATAATGACTGACAAAACTGGAACACTAACTGAAAATAGAATGATCTTTAGAAGATGCTGCATTAATGGCGTTTTCTATGGAAATGAGAGTGGTGATGCGCTGAAAGGTTCGTTATCTATTTTTCACCTTCTTGCTCATTACCTAATCTTTTCTCATTGAATCCATTTTTAGGTTCATATTCTCATTGAATCCATTTTTTAGGTTTTCATTTCTGTTGAATGAAATTGTCTTGCTTGAAATAATCAGGGACAATTTGACTTTTTATATCTTGCAAATGAAAGCTGATATTTTATAATTGAGGGGGGTCCAAAATTGGGAATGGAGTTTAATAAGTTATTTTGCCCGTGGGCCGTAAATTCTATGTTTAAGATGAGAATACAAATTTCATCTTTAACATCCTTATTTTGCTTCAAGTTCATAGCTCTTGTAAATTCTGATTTATCATTTCAAATAGTCTTTAATAAGTTAATTTTTATGGTTTTAGTTTTTATTCTTGGAAATAACATAATGACTTGAAGCAAATTGCATGCTTTTAGATAAATGAGCTCAGTATTCTTAATATTTTATGATTCTTATTTTGCTAGAAATAGTTTGAAATTCATTCGGAGGATCTTTAAATCAGTTAGAGTTTCTTTTGGTTTCCAAATATTGAAGACATTTTCATGTAAACTATGATTATGACTGATTTTGCCACGGGTGCACAGATGATAAGCTGCTTAATGCTGTTGCTGGTAGCTCTCTTGACGTTATTCAATTTGTCACAGTTATGGCTATATGTAATATTGTTATTCCTATAAAGAGGTGATTCTATCTTCTATCTTGGTAGAATCTTTTAGCTGCAATTTAGAGATAGATCATAACAGTGTCATAACTTTGTTCTTAATTTCAAAAATTCTGTTGCATACATTTGCTAATACATATCATCCTGACCTGTTTTTATCATCTGTAGCAAAATCGGAGCCATCTTGTACAAGGCACAATCTCATGATGAAGATGCTCTTGTTAATGCTGCTGCTCAATTGCATATGGTTTATGCCAATAAGAATGCAAATATTCTAGGTAAAAATCCGTCCCTTTTTTATGTAAAGAAGTTGATCGCTAGGATGATTATTTATGGTTTCCTGTATTAAATACCGTACAGAGATCAGGTTCAATGGTTCAATAATTAAGTATGAACTATTGGAAATTTTGGAGTTCACTTCTGATAGGAAAAGAATGTCAGTGGTTGTTAAAGATTGCCAGAACGGAAAAATTTTACTTTTGTCAAAAGGTGCAGATGAAGCAATTCTCCCTTATGCTTATGATGGTAATGTTTTTTTTTTCAATCTTTTGCTCATCATGTTATTATTTTTAACTTCAATCTATTTGTTTGATGGTTGATTTCATTGGCAGTTAGATTCTTGTTTGTCTGCATGATTTAATTTTTTGATGATTGTTGCACCTATGTGCACGGATCGCCTTTTTTCTTTGAGGAATATCTTTGGCTTACTGGCATAAATAACTGTTGCTATCCTGCCTTGAACAATGACCATGTGCATCGATTCGAGGATGGGGTGTTGGAGGTTTGGATCTTGTAGTTAAGTCCATGTTAACCTATATATTTGTTTCAACTTCAAGTCTCATTCTTGTCATTTCATTTTCATGAACTTATATTTTTTAGGTTTGGAATTTCTTTAATATCCTTTTTGGGACCTCATTCTAATCAGAGAAGTACTTACTAAATTTTAGAAGCTAAAAAGGTTTCTTATGGTGGCTTCTGTTGTTTCTGTCTTTATCACAGGTTATCTCCATTATGGGTCTTGATGCTGTTGGGCTATTACTTTATACATTTATGGGACTTTGACTGTTTTCCTAGTTGATTTCCCCCGCTTTTGTATATAATTCTGGATCATGCATCAAGAATCATAAACTTGCCTTACCCCTCATCATGCTGGCTTGCTAATATATTTATATTTTTTAATGATTGGAAAGTTTTTGTGGGGCTTGTAATGTATTGAGATTCACCGATATAAGTTCTTGTTATTGCATGTTAGAAAAGGTAATTTTTAAAAGGACAATAGATATTAGTGACTGAATCGGTTGGTTTTCTATATGATATAATCATTACCTTTCCAGGGCAACAAACAAGAACATTTATTGAAGTGGTAGAACAATATGCTCAATTGGGGCTACGTACTTTATGCTTAGCTTGGCGTGAATTGAAAGAAGATGAGTATCAAGAGTGGTCTTTGATGTTCAAAGAGGCTAGTAGCACATTAGTTGACAGGGAGGTGAAGTACTATCTAATGATCTTTTTGTGTTCTCCATTTGTTTATGTTTTACCTTATTGCACACTTTTGGTCAAGTTTGGTGATGAGTGACTCAGTTCCTCTTATCAACACATTCTGCAGTGGAGGATTGCTGAGGTTTGCCAAAGATTAGAACATGAGTTTGAGGTTCTTGGAGTCACTGCAATAGAAGACTGTCTACAGGTAAAGTTGAGCTATTAAATCCAACTTGCATATAAAACCTTTTTCATTTATATTTAAGTCAAATATACATTATATCCATGGAATGTATTTTGGATGTTAACATTTGTCCCTTTATTTTATTTTTAATTGTTTTAGGATGGTGTACCTGAAACAATTGAAACACTCAGGAAAGCAGGAATAAATTTTTGGATGCTGACCGGAGACAAGCAGAATACTGCCATACAGATCGCCCTTTCTTGCAATTTTATTTCCCCTGGTAGGTTAACCATTTACATAAATTTCAATTCATTGTGTGAATTACATGTTCGGCTGTTTATGTTGTTTCAAATATCTAGGTCAATTGGAAGGACTAGTTTTCATGGTTCCTAAATGTTTGAAACTATGCTACTTGTATGATTTGTTGCTTGGATTGAACAAATACATTTATTCAAGTTCTCATTTCTTGCATCTCTCCACATGCCTGCAAATACTTCGTGTTGTTGACTGCTGGGACTGACCATGCAGAAATGTGTTGTTAACTTTTTAACGTAAGATATAATGGATTTTCATATAAACTGATGATTTATTTGGATATGAAACTAGAGATCGGGTTTGCATTGCCATGGATGGGGCCTTTTCAAGTGGCATGCCAATTGGAGTAAGACCTCATGAAGCAAAATATCTGTGCAAGAAATGACAGGACGATACTAGCTCTGCATCATTGTTTTCCCATATAAACTGGATTTATCTCTTTGAATTTAAGCGCCTCATTGTGACGAAGAGTTTTGAAGAATGTGTAAGATTAGAAACAAAATATCTTAGATATTATTGTTTATTATAGTTAATAATGTTGAACTACATTATATTTTACGTTAATGTAAACTTTGATTTATTATTATGGATTTCATTTTTCTTGTTATGGATTTTAAGTTTGTTGTTATCGATGTCAAGTTTATTGGAAAATGCTACAGGTTAAATTTGGGTAATAAAAGAGTAGAAAACAACATTTGACAAATTAGTTTTAATTTGCAAAATCAATTTCTTTTAGCTATAGAGAGGTAATTAGCGGCGTTTGTATCTTAAAACGCCGCTATATACCAGATCTTTTGCGGTGTTTGTGGGAAAAACGCCGCTAAATATCAAGACCTATTGCGTCATTTGTGGACAAAACGCCGCTAAATATCAACACCTATTGCGGCGTTTGTGGAAAAAACGCCGCTAAATCTCAACACATATTGCGGCGTTTGTTGGAAAAACGCCGCTAAATATCAATACATATTGCAGCGTTTGTTGGAAAAAACCACCAAATATCAACACCTATTGCGGCGTTTGTTGGACAAACGCCGCTATATATCGTTACCTATTGCGGCGTTTTTTGTTACCAAACGCCGCGAACTTTAGCGACGCTATTTACAACGGTGCTTTTTGCGGCGTTTGTTATAGCGCCGCATGTGTTTGTTGCGGCGCTTAAAAACGCCGCTATAGGTATAAAAAACACCGCAAATGTACAGTTTTATTGTAGTGACCATATGTAAATTATGTACGATATGATTTTGGTTTATTGACGCTTATACATGAAATTTCTTTTATTGTATTCTATTTTAAATCTAATTAAATATTTAATAGTTAATTTAAATTATGCGATATTACCATATATAATATTTATATTTATACTTTTTAACTCTTTAAAAAACTTACCATTATGCATTTATTCATTCCTACATAATTTATAAATATATTTTAATCCTTCCGAGTTTAAAAGAAACAAATTATTTTATATATATATAAAATTATTAATGACTTTAATGGTAAAAGAGAGTGTTGTCCCCTTCAAAATATCAAATTTGAACAACTAATTTTGCATGTTGTATATGTATTATCAAGAGTATACGTGAACATTCAATCGAGTCGAGTAAAAAAATTCAAGTTATTCGAGTTGACGAGTCATATCTTATGACTAAAACTTAACTTGAAAATTATACGAGTTATTCGAGTTTCAATACAAAATTAATTGTAATTATTTATAATATTATGATATTATTTGTTCTAATTTTTCATTTTTCTCTAACCATATATACACACTATTTATTCACATTTGTTCCCATTATAACATTATTTAATATATCAAATACAATCTAAAAGTATAAAATATGTTTAAATATTATATTTTAAATAATGTATTTTGAAGGTAAAGTATTAAATATAATGGAGTTAATGAGATGATGAGAAAAAAAATTGCAATCAAAAGGCTAAATTCAATAAAATGCAAAGTTAAGAGATTAAATTAAAAAAGAGTATACTTTTAGTAAAAAAAATAGTAATTGAAGTTAAATATGTATTTTATAGTGGTATAGGAGCATGTGATTTAAATTTGGTCAAAAACAAACTTAAAATGAAGGATAAATTCTACAAAATAATAAGTAAATCATGAAAAATTGAAGGACTCTATTAAAGAATAGAAAACTTGTTATCAAAAAGAGTCATTGAAAGTACATAGGTATTATACTATGGTTTAGGAATATACTATATAAATTTGTTAAAAATGACTTAAAATAAATAAGGAATTGAAGGAGTAAGGAAATAATAAGGTAAATAGCAAAACTATCAAAATACTTACTCAATTTTAACTCGAAATTTTTAAATTTCAACTTGACTCGAACTCAAAAATCGATTTGATAGTTCGAATTGACTCAAATAATTTAAATGTGAAAAAATAGATTTTTTGAGTCTAATCGAGTTTTTCTCACTCCTAATCAATAAAATAAGAAAATTATAAATAAATACTACATTTTAATTATCTTAAATTATTAAAAAATAAAGTAAAAATATTATTTTAGTCTCTTTTAAAATTGCAAAATTTTAATTTAAAACAATTATAGATGACATTTTGAGTCCTTTTTTTCTAACCTAATTCCTAAATATCTAAATATGTATATATCGTTAACAAAACAGAGGGCGGCTTGCCGGAGAATCATCAATTATTTTCAAGTTCCAATGCTCTTCTTCACAATTCGAAAGGCTGGATAACGTCTCTCACGTATACAGGGGATTGTCTCCGAAAAGACAGGTTAATATATAGCGTTAGCAGATACATTAAAAGATATTTGATAAATGTGATTTAGCACTATCGAAAATATTAAGTAATAATAATGTAATAGATGAGAATCATGAAGAAATATTAATAAATTTGACAACCGGCAAACTTAGATTGTCGGTTTGTGCCGATATTTTATAAAAATATATTGATCTATAACAATATAATAAGTAAAAAAATGACAAAATCGGTATATAAATGACAAAACAAATAAAGCGCTACCAGATATATTGAAAGTGTCGATACTTTATAAAAATGTATCGATCCATAACAATATAATAGGTAAAAAAATGACAAAACCGGTCTATAAATGACTAAACAGATAAAGCGCTACCGGATATGTTGATAGTGTCGATATTTTATTATAAGTATCGACACTTTTGGAATTTAAAAGAGAAAAAGTTATAGCGTTAATAAAGTGTCGATACTTTATAAAAATGTATCGATCTATAACAATATAACAGGTAAAAATATGATAAAATCGGTCTCGAAATGATAAAATCGGTAAAGAGCTACCGGATATGTTGATAGTGTCGATACTTTATTATAAGTATCGTTACTTTTGGAATTTAAAAGAAAAGAAGTTATAGCGCCAATAAAGTGTCGATACTTTATAAAAATGTATCAATCTATAACAATATAACAGGTAAAAATATGACAAAATCGATCTCGAAATGACAAAATCGATAGTGAAAAAAGTGTGCTTGTGTGGTATTTTTATTTCAAAATTTTTATTTTTTAATACAAAAAGTTGAATATTTTAAACAAAACCCAGTAAAAAAAATAAAAACTTTACAGTAACAAAAGAATAACATTGGAAAACTCACCATGTTATCAGTTTCTCAAATAACAAAAACCCAGAAACAGACATATCTTAACGCAAACTTATGATATACTCTTATTATCTCCATAGGATAAAGTTGTATCAATCCCAAAAACATTAAAACCGATAATTATAATGTAATAGGTAAATTTACAATGTTACTGGTTTAAATATACATGTTTAATTAGAAAATAGGTCAATATAAACGCTACTTATTACATTATATAAACGCTACCTAATATATTATTGTACTTGATAATATTTCTGATTAAATGATATAACATAATTAATTTAAATTTTAATCTATTACTTATTTAACATGTGACATCATTTTTTAATAATTTTTAGATCACTCGTATACAGTACAATGCATGCCTTACTGAAATCACTGATTGCTCAACACTCGAGGAAATATCTCAATTTTCATTTACTCCGTTATTTAAAGAAAAATTGGAAATCCCACGTGGCGATATACAGACGGTCCAATAAATGGAAGCTGCTCGATTTTTAACTCCAGAGATTGTTGCTATATAAACGCACCTCCTTCACCATCAGTCACCACTAGTCACCACTCGCATTCTTTGTATTTGAGAGAATATCAAGCCATCGGTATAAGGAAGCATTCCCTTAGTTGGAGCGCGGTTCTGCTGAGTTTTCTTAGCTTTGAAGTAAACAAGAGTTTCAAGCCTTTCAGCACTGTTGACGGCATAAAGACCTAAGCTAAGCTTAGCCGGCTACCGGTGAGTTCGTTTGGAGTTCCGAGTCGTCAATTGTGAAATTCGATTCTAGTTTTACATGTGGATTCTTTCTTTTGAGTAAACTGTTCATTTTCCCACTCTTTGGTGACTTTGTTGCTGCTTCCGTGCTGATCATGAAACGAGATGTGATTTGGATTTTGGAGTTTATGTGATCTGATTTTTGTTTGTTAATGTAGCTTACAGTGGATTGTTTTCCCCTCTTTGGTGACTTTGTTGCCGGTTCCGTGTTGATCATGATCGTGAAATGAGACTTGATTTGGATTTTATGATCTGCTTCTTTTTTTTTTGAGATTTTGAAGAATTTTCTAAGTTTTTTTTGCTTTGCTCCATGGAGGAAAACTGAGCAATGATGAGTTTATGACTATGGAGTAAGGAGTTATGAATTCTAGCAATCGATATCGCTAGAATTGCTTGATTATGAATTATGATCTTGCTCCTACGATGCCTAGATAGGATTTTGATCTAATTTTTTAAAATCTCTGTTTAATTCAAAATTCATCACCCTTTGATATTTTGCTAACTTTATAATATAAATTATCATCTCTTTTTTCTTCTTCTGTATTAATCATCGGGGCTGTTTTTCTCGTGGATCGGTCCAAACTTGGTCTTTTCTATGTAACTCTCAGCAATCATTTTTCCCTTTATTTTATTAAAAAAATCATTACTTTAAAGTGCAAAAATTAGGAGTTTGATTTTCATTTTTCTAAAAAAGAGGAGCTTTATTGGAGTCGGAAAAGATCACTGTGGTCCACCGGTGTCCTTTCCTCTTCCGAATTTTTGTTTTTTTCTCCATTATTTTATTAATTTCGCGACGAACTGGAGAGTGGAGATTAAACACCCCA